TTAAGGGTTTTTTTCTGGTTTCTTTTGTCATTTATTTCCAGTTTCATTGCATTGTAGTCAGGTAATGTGCATGAGATAATTTCTGTTTTCTTGCATATACTTAAGCATGATCTATGGACCAATATGTGGTCTGTTTTAGAAAATGACCCATGTGCAGCTGAGAAAAATGTGTATCTGCTGTGTTTGGGTGGAACACTCTGTATATATCCACCAAGTCCATTTGTTTCAAGCTCTGGTTCCGTTCTGTTATTTCTTTGCTAAGTTTTTGTCTGGTTGACCTATCTTTTGGAGATAAGGGGGTGTTAAAGTCTCCTGTTAAAATTGTGGTATTGAATATTAGATTTTTCATGTCCATTAAGATTTGCTTTATATAGTTGTGTGCTCCCATGTTTGGTGCATACATATTTATGAGTGTTACTTGTTCCTCTTGAATGTTTCCCCTAACCAGTATATAGTGGCCTTCTTTATTTCTCTTGATCATTGTTGGTTTGAACCTGAGACTGTCTGAGAATAGGATTGCTACCCCTGCTTTTTTCTGAGTTGCTGGGGCATGTAGTATTGTGTTTCATCCGTTGACTTTCAGCCTATGAATGTCTTTATGAGTTAAATGTGTTTCTTTTATACAGCATATTTTTGGATTTTGTTTCCTAATCCACTATGCCAGTCCATTTCTCTTAATTGGTGAATTGAGTCCATTTACATTGATGGTTAGAATTGAGATGTGTGTTATTTACCTGTTGTCGCTTACTTCTTTTTCTCCTGTGTTTAATTGCTTGCCCTGTTTAGTTGGTTGCTTCTGGTCTCATTCGTGGAGTTCTGTTCATTTTGGTCCCTCTCTAGAACATCTTTCAGTAGCCTGTGTAGGGTTGGCTTTGTCATCACGAAATTCTTTAGCTGTTCTTTGTCATGCAAGTATTTCACTTCTCCATCAAACTTGCAAGAGAGTTTTGCAGGGTTTAGTAGTCTGGGCTGGAATTTGTTTTCATAGAGGACTTGAAGTACTCTGCTCCATGCTCTTCTTGCCTGCATGGTTTGTGAAGAGAAGTCGGCCATAATTCTGATGGGTTTTCCTTTGAATGTGATCTGCTTCTTTTCTCTAGTGGCTTTCAGTAGATTATTCTTGTGCTGAATTTCTGGGATCCTGACTATTACATGTTTCAGTGTGTTTTTCATTGGGTTGAGGTTACTTGGCGTTCTGTATGCTTCAGTTACCTGAATGTCAGATTGTTTCCTTATATTTGGGAAGTTTTCTGCTATTACTTCTGCCCCTATTTTTTAATGTCATTTGTATTGACTCCTTCTTTCTCATTGATGCCTATTAGTCTCACATTGTTCATCTTTGCATCATCTTGCAGATGATGGATTATTCTTTCCTGCATCCTCGTTGTTTTTAAGAGATCCTTTCTTACCTTTTCACTAGCTCCACCAGCATCTTCAAGATCTGAACCTCTGTCTTTACTTTCACTTAAACAGTTTTGCAAGCTCGTGATTGAGATTTTAATTTCCTCTATATCTCTGACTCTGCTTCATGCGATCTATTTCTTTCCTATATTGCTCATTCAAGGAATCCGTCATTTTTCTAATCTCCATTTTTTTTTTAATCAATGTGTTCTTTAGAAGCAGTTAAAAATTCTTTTACTGCAGTGTTTTTTTCAGATTGGGTTTTCTCCCTATGTTTCTGTAGTTGCTTCTTTACTTCAGATGCTATGAGTTCTGAGAATTCTTTTTTTATTTCAGAAAAGAATTGCACTATGAATTCCTCTGTAACTTTCTGCTGTTACTTATTTACTATCGACGCTATTATTTCATGCATTTTAGCCGAGCTAGTGACCTCTAAACTTGTTCTGGATGGGCTTTGGGTTTTCTCCATATGTTTCTGCATTTGATTTTTTACTGCAGATGTTATTATTTCAGGGATTTCTGTTTTTATTTCCAATCTGAGTTCCTCTATACCTTTCTGCAGCTGTTTCTTTATTTCGGAAGCCGTTGATTCATTGTTTTCAGCTGTGTGATTCCCAATTTGTTCTGTGTTAGTGTCCTCTGCACTTGTTACGGGTGGGCTTGGGTTGTGAGGTTGCATTTCGTTCCTTCTCGTCATTTTGTATAGCACTTTCTTCTGACCTTTGTTGTAGATCTTTGTTGTAGTTATAACCTTAGCACTTACTGTAGTTGAGGTGCAGATCTACAAAGTTTGGATTTATCCAGCTGTGCCTGGCTTGGGTCTGGCTTCTGTGCTCAGCTCCTTCCTGCTGCTGCCCTTGGGGGTGAACCTGTTATGCCCCTCTGGCAAGATTTTATGCTCCTGGACTATCTGGGTGGTTCTATCCTCTGTACTCTGTGCAGGGATTGCAGGTGCAGGGTTTCACCCCAGGCCTGTATGCCAGGCCTGAGCTGAGTCTGGAAGGGACAAGGTGGAGTAGTTGGGAGAGGTAGCTCTCCCACACACTCACCGGGCGTGGGCTAGGACTGGGTCTGGGGGTTCCCAGAATGCAGCAGAAATTCCTACTGAGCGGGCAGGGTGGGGGGAGGTGCTGCGTAGTGGTCGGGGACGTCCCAAGGGGGTAGAAAAGGGTCTCACCCATGCTGCGCCTGGGCTAGGACCAGTAATAGGTCCTGCCGGCGCAGGATAGCAGTAAGCTCTTCCACACACTCACCGAGCCTGGGCTAGGACTGGGTCTAGGACCTTGCACTTGCCACGCAAACGCTTCTCCCTGGCCTCTACCTCTCCCTTTTGTTGGCACAGAACTAGTTTATCACCTGACTGATGATCTTAACTGGGGCTTATTTTGGGTGTAGGCTTTATATTATGTATACCCTAAAAAAATCATGTAGGTCTTATTTCCCAAATAGGTCTTATTTGGGGGGGGAAATGCAGCATATACTACATTTGGATTTTGTTTTGTCATATGTTTATCTTCATTTAATCTGCCTTTGAAGCATTTCAAAGTATGTTGTAGTATCAGTGTGTTCATGCTAAGAGATGCATGCGTTTGTGGGGGGAGTCCTAAACCCTAACAAAATCTAGACTATTGCCATCGTCTCAGGAAGTTCTTTCTTGCCTGGTGCCAGTTCATCTGTACCTCCAGTCCCCAAAAAGTAACCATTGTCTTGTTTTTGTTTTTTGTAGGTTAGTTTTGCTTATCCCCCTTAATAGGAGATAACATATTATGTACTTTTTTTGGGTTAAGCCTTCTTGGCATGTTTTTTGTTTTTTGTCTTGCTTTGTAGTTCAGGCTGACCTTGAACTCACAGGCTGGCTTTGAACTCATGGCAGTCTTCCTGCCTCTGCCTCCCAAGAGATAGGATGATATGTGTGCCCCACCACATCCAGCTTTTGCCTAACATGTTTTTTACATTAATCCATGTTGTTGTGTGTACCAATAGTTCCTTTCTTTTAACTGCTGGATAGTTATCCTTTGTTTTTTCTTTGTTTATCCATTCTCTTGTGTGTGTACACCAGGGGTATTTGAGGACATTATGTAAACACTGATATGTACATATTTGTACAAGCCACTTTGTGGATATATTTTCATTTTTAGGAGAAGCTTTACCTTCATTTTCTATCCCCTTACGCTTTTATCTGCAGTTTACCCTAAGAGAGATGTTATAAAATTGTTGACCATGGTGGTACGAAAGCACCAAGTTGCTAAGTAAATGACTCCTATTGTAGATTAACAAAGATTTGTCACATTTGTAGTTGTTTAATCTGGGCATATTTTAGGGGAGGTTTATTTTTTTGTTTTAGTGCCAAGGACTGAACCTAGGGCTTCCAGCTTGCTAGGCAAACATTATACCATTGAGCCAAATCCCCATCCCCTGGGCATATTTTATATGAAGGATGATAGGATAGTTTTTGCGTATAGACTGATTACACTCTATATACAGATGTATAAATAGTCACTGTTTCTGTACATAAATTACAGAAGATTAGCTACAGTATAACTTCTTTTTTTCCTATTTAGTAATTCTCAACCTAGGCTACATATAAAAACCTTTGTGGCTGGGGATACAGCTCAGTTAAGGTCCTGAGTTCGATCCCCAGTGCTGCAAAAACAAAAACAAACAAAAGAAACACCCTTTGTTACTAGGGTCTAATCCAAAGCAGTTAATCAATATCTGAGATGAGTCTCAACATCAGTAGTTGTAAAGGTTCCCTAGATGATTCCAATCTGCACCTAAGAATGCAAGCCAGTGCTACTAGAAGCACCTGAAATAAAATTTAGGTGAAAGCATACAGTGATGGTAAACCTTTTAGGTACCACGTGCCCAAACTGCAGCCCTAAGCCCATTTATTTTATCATTAAGTGCCAACATTGCAATTAAACTTGAATACTGAGGTTTTACTTTAGAAAAAAAGACTCATATATTAACATCCTTTGTCTTAAAAGAAAAAACAACATGCATGCCATAGGTTTGCCACTACTGGTATGAGTATTCTTTTAAACAGTCTGTGTTGCCAGTGAGAAGCGTGATGTTTGAGTTGAACTTTGCTGTTTACAAACTCTGAGTTTGGGTAGATTCCTTAATTAAGCATTTCTGCCATGATTAAATGAGATCATGACATAATGTCTCTAGAGCAAACCAGAGCACAAAGTAAGGGTTCCTTCTCTTTCAGAAGTGGTATATCTTTGAGGGGCTGGGGAGATAGCTCAGCGGTTTAAGTGCCTAGCTGGCAAGCACAAGGTCATGAGTTCAGTCCCTAGTACCAAAACAACCGAAAAGAAGTGGTATACTTCGAATAAATAAGGATTACAAGCCAGTATTTCTTCTCTGTGAAAAAACTTAACATAGCCTTATTTGTCAGAGAGAAGGACTTCCTAACGAGCCTTTACATTACTTCAGTGTGGAAGTCAACACAGCTCAGTTTACTCATCTTCCAGGCTGAGTGCAGAGGTATGTCCTCATACTCTAGAGTTGTCAACTGAGAACCTGATACAGTTACCTGATAAAGTATACCAAGAGTTAAATATGGTATTTTAAATCGGTGCTATGTTGGCGGCGTTGCCCCTGACCTCGTGTGTGACTTGTGGAGTCGGCGTTTGCAGCTGCGGAGGGTTTGGCGAGATGTCTCACACTATTTTGCTGGTGCAGCCTACTAAGAGGCCAGAAGGCAGAACTTACGCTGACTATGAATCTGTTAATGAATGCATGGAAGGTGTTTGTAAGATGTATGAAGAACATCTGAAGAGAATGAACCCCAACAGTCCCTCTATCACATATGATATCAGTCAGTTGTTTGATTTTATTGACGATCTGGCAGACCTCAGTTGCCTTGTTTACCGAGCTGATACCCAGACATACCAGCCTTATAACAAAGACTGGATCAAAGAGAAGATCTACGTGCTCCTTCGTCGGCAGGCACAACAGGCTGGCAAATAATGGAGTTGGAAACAGCAGGGGCTGGGGGCGGGGCTTGGAGCACAGGTGTGTGCAGTGCACTGCAGTGAAGCGCTGTCCTGTGAGCCTCTTTCCACTTGTTTCACTCTAGCCAGGATTGAATGCGTTAGATGAAATGTGAGGTGTGAGGATCTTTTCAATCCAAAACCCCCATTGAACCCTTTTTCTTTTTTTCTTTTTTTTTTTTTTTTTTACTTAAACATTTTTATGATTCAGAAGGCAGTTGTTCCTTGTCGATATTGGTTCCAGTCCTTCAGATTGTTCCTATCTGCTTTATAACATTCACAGTACTAATCTTTTAAGATGGGGTAGGGGATGATGACAAAGTTTAGTTATGTCCTCAAGAAAAAGTCTTAGTGAAAATAAATGTTCTTTAGTTATAAAATAAATAAATAAATAAATCGGTGCTAAAGGAACTGTGTACCTCTTAATCAGATGGATTTCCTTGTATTTTTTTTTTTTTTTTCCTTTAAAATGTGATGGTTGGGCTAGTTCAATGGCATAAGTGCCTGCCTGGTAAGTGTAAGGTCCTGAGTTCAGTCCCCCACTACCTAAAACAAGCAAAACCTTAATGGTTTTGGGGGTGTTTTGTTTTGTTTTGGTTTGGTTTTTTACATTACTTGGGATTCAACCCAGGGCTTTGTACATGATAGACAAGCACTCTACCATTGAGCTATATCTTTAGCCCTTTTTCATTTTATTTTTGAGACAGAGTCTAAATTGTCCAGCCTGGGCTGGGAAGATAGCTTGGCAGTCTAAGCACCTGCCTGGAAAACACAAGGAACCAATTTGATGTCTAGTACTGCATGTGGGCCAGCCTTGGAATCCCCAGCACCCATGCTGGCCACTGAAACTGTGGGTAGGGCCCACATCTATAATCACAGTGCTGGGGAGGCTGAGACAGGAGGTTCACTATGAGTCTGAGCTATGTAGTGATAGACCCTGTACCAAATAAATAAGTAAATAATTGATTAAAAAAATAAATTGCCCAGGCTGGACTCAAAACTTGCAGTCCTCCTGCGTCAGCCTCCAGGATAGCTAGAGGAGTGCACCACCATGCCAAGCTGAAACAGTGTTTAAGCTTCCTGTCCAACACAAAAGTTGTGAACTTTACCCTTTAAAAATGGTTTTCTCTTTTAAACTCGAACTTTTTGGAAAATTAATTTCTCTTCATGGATATCACTGTATACACAGCGTCTAGAACTATGCTTTGTATAAAATATATAGGAGTTATTAAATAAGTACTAAATAAGTTTCCATTGAAGGATAAGAAAAGATTTAATCGATTTGTGTGACTTTGTCATATACTTTGAAATGACACAAAAGTCTCACAAATGTTTTCAACATGGCTTTTTTTTTTTTTTTTTTTTTTTTTTTGCAGGACTGGGTATTGAACTCAGGCCCTTGCGCTTGCCAGGGAAGTGTTTATTCCACTGAGCCATTTTCGCAACCCACAAATAATGTTTTCTAAACTGACATAGTGCTGTTAGGAGAATAAACTCTAACCTGTTAGATGTCAGTGACAGAGGAATGAAGTCATGAACTAAAGGAGCAGGTTAGGAAAGTTTTGTTGGAAACACGAAGCATAGTTCCTGGGTTTCTAGGGGGGATCTCCAGTCAGTGGTCACCGTGGCCTGTAATTATAGAGAAGGAGAACACGGGAAATGCCAGTTGTTTAGTGGCCACCTATTACAGATGGCTCTGTGGATTTAAAATGACCAACTGGAACTCAGGCTAACCCAGTCCAGGATTTTTGGCATTTAAGAGAAAAACTAGTTCTTTTGCATTTTAAATTTCTCAGCACTCAGTTTGGTAGGGAATTAGCTGCAAGTGCCTTTAGAAGGGAGAAGGCTCCATCCCACACTGTGTGAGGAAGTTCATTCCTGGACCAGTCCTAGTTCAGGAGCAGCATATTTTAATTCTTATCTGTCTAGTCCCCCAGTTCTACCTCAAGCCCTTCCCCTAGCTACTGCTTTACTTATATACAAGCTAAAACTATTTTCTGCAGTCTTTAATTAAAGAGCAGCGTTTGGAAAATGAACTGTTCCCTCATTTTCTCGTGTGAAATGTGAGAGCAGAGGCTGAGATCATGATGTGCATAATGTGAGCGAGGCGAGCAAGCTGGTGTGCGCAGGTGGTAGTTCGTTGAATCCGCCCAGTCTCTGGCTTTCTGCAGCCCTGGGAGAGCAGCCGCAGTCAAGGTTCTTTGGGTTACTAACGGTAAGCCAGGGGTGGTGTTCCTAATCCTTTCAAGTGAATGATAAACACCAGAAGGCGTGTCTAGGGAGCCCCACTCCCACGGCGGCAGGTCACGTGAGCGCCCAGGACTTCCCGATTCCCAGCCTGTGCCTCCCGGGAGTAGTAATCAGAATCGAAGAGGGAGAAGTAGGAGGGAAAACGAGTGGAAGGAAGTTTAAAACAGAGCAAAGCATTTCTGAAACAATGCCGCACTTCACTGTGACCAAGGTAGAGGACCCAGAGGAGGGGGCAGCGGCTTCAGTCACCCAAAAGCCCAGTTCAGCAGAACCAAAACCCGGGATTCTGGCTGCAGAAGAACCAGGTGAGTCCTTAGTTGGAAAGTTTTTGGAACCTATAGAGTTTTTGTGAGAGAAATGGTAACCAAGATATCAAAATTCAGAAGGCCTTTTTAAGCATGGAAAAAAAGTGTGGCCGCAGTTTCAGTCACTTGTTTCATGGCTTGCGTATCTGGTGACTTATCGTACTGTTTTGTTTTCCCCCCACAATGAGGTCAGTGTTCGCTACCAACAGGTGAAACTGAATCATGGCAGTGTGCTAAGGGGTTTTCGAGCAGAAAGGCTCAGTGAAAGTCAGTTTACACGGAATTTAAAATTCACTCATAGATTTATGTTTAGAAAAGTGAAATTAATTTTAGCAGTTTATTATGTAAAGAGGGAACATGGTTCAGTAGGTTTGTACTGTGGACTTTATACTTTGACTTCTCAGATTATTTAGAATTTTGCCTCGATTTACCAGCTCAACAGAAATTCAATAGTGAACGATGTAAGAATTCTTTAATAAAAGGACAAAGGTAAGATAAAAAAAAATAAAGGACAAAAGTATAATAGATGATCGTTCTAATGACTGGTATAGCATCAGGTGTAACTAAATTACTTGATGAATGTGCTTATCCCTATTATTTTCTCTAAATGGTAACAGTTACACTTTCTAGGGGAATTGTGGTTTTGAAATTTTAAACATGCCAATTAAAATCTTAGTTAATATTATGGTATTAAATATAGCCAGAATTTGAAGCCTCTCATTTTTTAAATCTGTAAGTTGTCAGCAACTTCTCCATTATGTGAATAAAGCCTAAGGGAAACTTTCAAAATTCCTTTTAATCCCATGATTCTTTTTTTCTATAACAATGATGGTGAACCTTTTAGAGCTTTCAGTGATGATAAACAGCAGGCTGCAGCACACATGCCATAGATTTGCCACCGCTATAATCTGTAGCAAGTAACACTGCAATTCCTTGCTGTAAACAGCTGTTGATTTTGTTTCTTACCAAGTTTTAACAAAGCTTTAACTTATTTAGGGGCTAGGGAGATGACTCAGTAGTATAAGCGCTTCCCTGGCAAGCGCAAGGGCCTGAGTTCAATCCCCGGTTCTACCAAAAAAAAAAAAAAAAGAAAGAAAGAAACTAACTTATTTAGGATAGTTTAACAAATAAAAGTTTATGAAGAAAAATCTTCCTTTATTTTTTTTTTGTTGTTGTTTGTTTTGTCTTTTTGAGACAGGGCCTCACTTTGTAGCTCAGGCTGGCCTTGAACTCACAGCAGTCGTGCTTCAGCCTCCCAAGTACTGGAATTACAGGCATGTGCCACCATGCCCAGCCAAATTTTCCTTTTATATTTTTTTTCCTTCAAGTTAATTTATTAGGAGAAGTTAAAAAAGGTTTATATAAACTTTGTCCACTGGGTTATTTTCATTTTGCTGAATAGTCAGGGTGATAAGAAGCTGAAAACAAGTTTAACCTACTTTGAACTTGTGCTTGATCCTCTGTCAATGACTTCAGCTCGCAGGAGTGTCTCAGGCTTGTGTGCATTTGAAGCTGCATTTTTGTAATTGCTTAGATTTTAATCCCTTTAGACAAAACTTAAATTCCATCTGTGCCTCATTTCACTTCTCACTGTTTTTCTATTCCTTTCACCATCCTTTCTGAATTTTATCTTTCCTAGAGTTAGTTTGGAGAAATTTTCTTCTGATTAGAAGAGAGCACTACCCTGATAATCTATTAGCAGCTCTAAAAATTTTGATAGCTGGGAATATAGCTCAGGAGCACAGGCACCTGCTTAGCAAATGCAGGTTCCTGAGTTTGAGTTCCAGTATCCCCCCCTTTTTTGATTTGTTAATGAAGTAACATTATTAGGCTTAATTTATTTTCTTCCATAGTAGTTACTTTGAACATGTAAGAAGTGACATTTGTAATCTAAATTAGATTTAATTTTTTGTATTTTTAAAGAGGAATACAGAATAGTAATATAAAAAAAAATAAATTAGACAGAACTTTACCAAACAAAATAATATGAATTTGACAGTGTTCATTGTATTTCATATTGTTGTCTTCAGATTAGCTGTTCAGGTTACCAGATACATGTATGCAATTTTGGAAAAAGAAAAAAAAGTTGTAAGAAATGAAGAAGGAAGAAATAGGGGGAAAATGAAGAAAGAAGATAAGAAAACAAAGAAACAAAAATTAAGCATTAACTGCTCCTTTCCATAGACCAGCAAAAATCCATAGTACTATTATCCAAACTATTCTGCTTACTTACATAGATATATCACAAGGTCTTGCTATCTACTCTGGGTTGGCCTGCAATTTACAAACTGGCCCAGGCTGGTCTTGAACTCGAAGCAGTCCTCTTCAGACTCTTGAGTGCTGGGGTTACAGGCTTATATCACCATGCCCAGCTACCTTGAATTCAGTAAAGGTTTTATTTGGTGTTTTCATAGTAGCCCAGAAAGTACAAGATCTACTTGAGAAAGGGGCTTGGAATGTCCCAAGTACATTATCTTTATTGTGGGTTTAGTTGGAGAGAAGAAAGATAAAAATGTATGGGTTTTTTTTTTTTTTTTTTAACCAACCGAAGAATAAAGTAAGGTAGATCTGGGGTTTTTTGTTTGCTTTTGTTTCTGTTTTTGGCTTTTTTTGGGTATCATTTGCTTGAAATAATTTAGTCCTCTGTTCTCCTGAGTTTAAAACTACCTTTATTATGATTTTGTTTTAGGCACTTGCCAGTTACATAACCAGTAGTTTTTGTTGTTGTTTGTTTTCTTTTTTCTCCTCTATGTGTGGAGAAACAATGTAGTATTATATAAACTGAACATATTTAGAAAGATGGTCATCCTTTATTTTTTT